AATGTTTTAATTTTTAAATTTTATTCGATTTTAATGAACTGTTTTTTCAACAGGCTGTGTGCGATCATAAATGTCGTTTTATTCATTGCTATGCTGGGAATGTGGGTTCAGTACATGATCAACGGGTTTTCAGATTATCTGAACTGAAAAATTACCTTGATGACGCAACCAAATTTCCTAATAACACCCATTTAATTGGTGATTCTGCTTATACCTTGCATGAACATCTTATGGTTCCATACCGTGATAATGGGCACTTAACTCAAAAGCAAAAGAATTTCAACTTTTGTCATTCCTCTGCAAGGATGGCAATTGAACGGTCTTTTGGTTTCCTAAAAGGACGGTTTCGTAGTCTCCTAACAACATTGGATATGAAGCGTGTCGATCTAATTCCCAAGTATATTATTGCATGCTGTATTTTACATAATATATGCTTATTACAAAATGATGAGTTTCCTGGTCTACCTGAAACAACACCGGTAAACGAAAATATACAAGCTCGTGGAGAGTTGGTTGCAATTAATCGTCAAGGAGCATTCAAGAGGGACAATTTGTGTGATCAACTACCTTTTCGCCATATATAATGTAAATACAATGATATGTTTACAATAAAAAAAACTAGTCTGAATCATAACAATTTGTATTTTATTTTTATATAATTATAAGTTAGTAATAGTACTACCATCAAACAAAAATATATATTATATTAAATATATATCACATATATATTGACTAATTACAGTTAACCACATTAGTTCACAAATAAATATCAAACAAATATATTTTCAACCTTTGAAATATTGAACATAAATATATAATAATAAAAAAAAAATAATAATAAACAAAATAAATAATAAAAATAATAATAAATAATAAACATATCTAACAGATTATAATCCTCAGTCTTAATATTTTAAAGTTTTACAAATCACATATATATTGACTAATTACAGTTAACAACATTAGTTCACAAATAAATATCAAACAAATATATTTTCAACCTTTGAAATATTGAACATAAATATATAATAATAAAAAAAAAATAATAATAAACAAAATAAATAATAAAAATAATAATAAATAATAAACATATCTAACAGATTATAATCCTCAGTCTTAATATTTTAAAGTTTTACAAATCACATATATATATTGAATAATTACAGTTATCTCAATCACTGATTTTTAGTTTCCAGTACACTAACTAGTCTAGCCAAAAGATTAATAGCCTCCTTTTTCTGATCCATTTTTTCTTTATGTCGCTTTTCTCTGTTTTCTTCTACCACTTTTCTATTTTCCTCAATTGCTAATCTAAACTTATCAACAGGAGAAAGATAATTTTGTTTCTTTTTAGGATTTTCATGACCAGGGCTTATGGCAGAAGATGGAGAATTTTCCACTTCTGGTTGGTCCCTTTTCCCCGTCGAAGAAAGAGTGGCTATGGGTGTAATGTACGGTTTAGCTCCTAACAAGTCATCCAGTAAATTAAAATATGGCCAAGTTCTGGTACCATTTCCAGACTTACTGTTGTGGTCCTTGATCGACTTGTACGTCCTCTTCAAACCTCCGAATTTCGATTGACATTGAGGACCAGTTACATTGTAAGATTTTTTTAACAGTTCATCTCCTATTGATTGCCAAATCTTTTTTTGGGAAATCTTCCCTGAACAGAAGCTGTCGGCAGTTTTTCTATATTCTTCAATAAGAAGTAATATGGCCTCATGAGGCCATTTAAATACATTGACATCAACTTCAGCTGTCTGTTCTTCTTGTACTGTTCCAGAATAATTATTCTGTGATGTCTGTTCAACTTGTTCTGTCGGCTGTTGTGAATCAGATTTATTTTTCTTGCATATATCCAACATTTCAGCTGCGAATACCATATCTAAGAACAAAAAAAGGTGGGTAAGTGGATGTCGCTCTGCTGTACAGTAGGTTACAAGTGGGTCACTGTATAATGGATTGTATTAAATTTGAATTCAATGATACAATATCATTGTATAAGAAAAACGATTCTGAGCGAAGACGGTATGTCAGTCTAGGTTTAAGACATATTATATACAAATCTATGGTAATAAAAAAAAATTGACCTATAATAAATTCCAAATTAATCATATCACAATATCCACTAGGTACTTATAACACGTTATACATCAATAACAAACCCTGATACTTATTGTGTACACAGACACAAAAAAAAAAAAATCATTGTAAAATCAATACATTCATCGTTTCACTCAGAATCTAAAATTCAAATTAATTCAAAATAAGTTCAAAAATTTGATTTACTCTTATAATACCTGTATTTATACGATTCGCCTCATCCCTCGTCACATTTAATGTGTACGTTTCTCCATCCACTCCATCCATCAGTATAATAGAAATTGACATATTATTACTATTGCTATTATTCATATTACTATTAAATTAAATTATTAAACTATTACTGCTGTAATAAATGTAATATTAATAATAAATATTACTGCCGTACATTTATTTTCAAATTGTGGTCTGTGATAAACTGATAAGATATCGAAAACGACGCAAACGCTTACGCTGCACTACCTATTTCATTTGAGCGTTGGTGAGCGCGTGACGATGACGTAGAGCTCAGATCTCGTGACGTCACGGTTGTAGTGTGAGCGCTTATAAATGCAAAGTGGAACTCACTGGGAGCGCTCATGAGCGCTTGAAGCGTACAAAGCGTCCAGCCGGAACGCACCCATAATATATTATACATTGCCAAACATGCTCACCCCCTATTTTTACCTTTAACTAATTTTAATTAATTGATTTCATATCAATCTATAAACGTTTTAATTTTGTAAAAATTGTCCAAGTATGACGCATCTAATTTACATTTTTCTAAAGTAACTTTTATGGCTGTAATCCGCTTAGAATAAACATTTTAATGACCAAGAAACTATTCTTTCGAATTATGAATTAGAACATACAAAGGTTCAAAAAAATATCTACTATAGTTCATTTTCATTAAAAAAGTGCCGTTCGTATGTACCTACCTATATTTTTCAACGAGATAATAGTGCTTTTTAATTATTGTTTAAGGCTTCGCGTCTTTTTAAAAAACTTTTAATCAATTTAAATTCGAACCTACAGTTGTATACAGGTTCTAGATTCTGAGTTATTAAACCCCATGTAATGTTTTGTACCAACTACTAATAGGACATAATATAATATAGCCCTTAATAAAGTGGTTTTACATAAATATAAAATAGACATGCGGGTTATACATGTGATGTTTAGTGCTTTTTTTCGCTATGGCAATTTTCTAAGATAAAATGTTAGTAGTATTACTCAAATTTTAAAATCACGATAATCGTCATATCTTTTAATATTATATAGGTAGGTACCTACATAATATTATATTATCACGAACTTTGTACAACTATGAAGAGTTTTTCTTTCGGATTCAGATTTAAATATAATATATAAATATTATAGTTCAGTGCTTTTGTCCACAATTATTGCGTTTATCGTTATTCAGAATTAAAACGTTATTTTACCCAACATTTGCCAACAATGAAGTAAGTAATTTACTAGGTAATATTTTTCAACATCGTTACCAGAAAATTATCATTTTTAATTTTATTAATATTTAATGGAAAAAAAAATGTTTATAAAATGCATTATTTAATTATACTTTATCCGGAGTGATATATTTAGACATACCAGCGGAAAAATAGATTTTTCCGAGGGAAATAGTTGGGTACAAATTCTGAAAATGGTGGTACTAATCGGTGCAAATTATAGTACAATTAATAGAAAAAAAAATGTTTATAAAATGCATTATTCAGTTATGGTGGTGCTTTGGTAACGTTACCCTGGCACCCCAGCGGAAAATTTGACTTTTCTTTTGGAAATATTTAGATACAAATTCTTAAATTGTTGGTACAAATTGGTACAAATTATAGTACAATTAATGGTTAGAAAAAAAATTAAGAAATTCGAACATTGGGGTGCCATGGTTACCCACCTACTTTTCGAATTGACATTCACCAATATACGACCATCGGCTTTTGGAACAGCTGCTAAAAAATCACTGGCGTCAGCGACAAATGCTTTGGCGTTCGATTTTTCTTTTAAGGGAAATTTATCTACGATATCCGCGTACTTTTCAAAATTATCGTATTGTGATGCCGATTCCGAAGGATTTATACTATTTTCATCGTCGTCGTCGTCAACGATTATATCATTTTCTCGGAAACGATCGAATAAATCGTTATCGTTATTATAATTGACTCCTGCAACTTGCAAGTAAGTTATCAATTTCGGATTGCCGATCCGAACGGTTATTATTATTCGAATGATTTTCGGCAATACGGAGTTTTGTCGTCTTCGGGGACATCGTCGCCGTCACAGTGTGCGGCGGCGGTATTGTTGAAAGAATCCGATTTTCATCGTCATCATCATCATCATCATCGTCATCATGGCCTAACGATGAGGGTTCTAATGTTTTATGGTTTTTAATAGTCGTACAATCGGATGATAATGTAATTGAATTTTCACGTAATAGTCGTCTCGTTCCACGGCTTTTGAGCGATATGTCTTTTGTTACATTATCGGATGTTAACGATGATCGTCGTAATGATACTACCGACGACGATCCTTTGACGTCGGATTGTGCCCTACGCTTACCGTCAAACACGTTTGTATATCGATTTGTATTCGCGACCGCTGACGACGACGAATTAATGCGATCGACGTGTTGTCAATGTTGTGTTGATGGTCGATGGCCAGGTGACGACGTCATACACTCGACTATTTTCATTTCTGAATTTATCGTCATTCGATAGCTGTTCAGATGGATCGTCATCGACGACGACACTAGCGAGTAGCGACGACACTAGCGATTCCGGATCGGCACGGGACGGCGATAACCGCGACGGTATATCAATTTGAGACATTTATATTAGAATTTATCAATTCATTTCGTTCGTCTTCGTCGTCGTCGTCGTCGTCTACGTCATGTTTTTTTAATATCATTCGTTTAACGACAAACCGAATGCGCTCACGGCGATATTTTTCAACACTATGAAATGAAGATTCGGTTTTCTACTCTTTGAGTCTATAGACGCTTCTATGCACGCCATTTCATCGTTTTCCACACGAACCTGTATGTTATCGGGACTCACGTACGTCCGACACACCGGATATTGTTTTACGATCACGTCGATTGCGAATTTCGTGGCTAGTTTCGCTAACAATATCGGTATATGTCGTAACCGCAAAGCTTGATGCATGTTGATCAATTCTCGGAGATCCGTCAACGACGTGTTTTTCAAATTTATATGTCGCAAGACTTTAGAGTTTGAACAAATTTCGTATAATGCCGCTCTAGTGAACGTTTCTTCAATTTTCGACGTCATGGCAGAGTGTGTGTGCGTGTATTATCGATATCACATGTGTCGCAGTCTTGTAAAGTATTTGAATACTCTTTTTGTATTCGAATACTATTCTAAATACTTCTTTTTAAAAGTATTCGAATACGTATTCTGAATACTTTTATTTGTATTTTTTATTCATTAAAAAAATACTTTTTTTCCGATCCAGTTAAATAGTTTTAAATTTGTGACAAGACATATTATAAATCATGAAGATTAATTTTATTCTTTGAAAGAAATATAATTTTGGCCCATGATATGATTATTTTTATAAATACCAATGTGTTTTATCACGTATAGTTGACGTATTTATCACGTATAATCACGTACATGATGTTGTGTGTGTGTGTGTCACGACGATATGTCGATGAAAATAATGGCTTTCTATTTATTTTTACGTGATATCTATTATAATAGAAAAACAAAACACAACGCGTTCTTGATCTCGTCACGGTGAATTATACAAAAAAAATAATAATAAATAAAATAGTATAATATTGTATAATACACAATATTGTAATATCCAATGTTCGACTTTGTCGAATGTACCTGTATGATTTTTAATATTTAACATTTAGACTTTTTTTTTATTCAATTCGCGCGATATTCCACTATGCATTCGACGATCCTTCCGATACCTATGTTTGTTCGCGATGTTTTTGTGCGTCGCCTACGTGTTTCTACGATATTATCGTTTCGATCGAAATATCGAAACGAAAACCGACAAAAATGCTATACGACAACGACGAGACCGCCGATCTCATAAACGCTTCGGGTATAAACAATATACCTTCGTTGGAAATACAGTCTGGCAGTCTGGAAATAAATTGCTGGCGACGGCTCACGATTGTCATCGAGGACTAGTGTCGGTCGTCGACGATATAGTTCGGATATCGATTACGGGCGTATTTGTGCAAACATCAACGCTCACGCGTTTCGAGTGTCGGAAAACGACTTGGTGTTTAACGAAAATGGCAAACTCGACGCCGGCACGTATTGTAAACTCGGTGAAAAAAAACATTGCAACACCAGGAGAACCGCGATCATGAAAAAACCGTCAATTCGGTGATTTGTCGCGCGAAGTTTCCAAAGTTGTTCGGCGGTCTGACCGGAAATCTCGTCGTCGCTTGTAACAATATATTCGCATCAATAATCCGTTGAGTGTTTTATGGGACTATCGATACGATAAAGTCGTCGACCCGTTTACCGTGACGTTAAACGACATCGACGAACTCTTGGCCGATGGTAATTCCGATTTCGGTGGCAGAGACAATATGCACAATAGATATATCGAACATCCGTACGGTCGATTTAAACCGTTGAACAATTATTATGCGCGTTTGGTCTTCGGAGACCACGATCGCGTAAAAACGATTTTTTCGAAAGACGACAACGGTTTCAGCTGCGACTGCGGCGAACACCGTGCGACGCGTGTAAAAAATCTCATCGAAAACGATAAGACGAGTCAATGTTCGGATAAAGTGTTTAAATTGAACAAATTGGACAGACTAATCGAATTGACTATACCTTACGTCGGCAAATACATGCCGTGCCAAACAGCGCAATTCACGTCGTTCTGTAGCCAAATGCATAGGCGGCATAGCGTGACAATAAATATTGTTTTATATCATTTTGAATACACTATAGTGTATTCCGCCAATGAGAATATTCCCATCGAACATCCTAAATACGCTGATTTTATCGACATCGACGACGACATGTTAGAATTTTTAGAAGGTGTCTGGATATCCACTTGATAACGACATCATAATAATAAATTACGATATTAGAATATTTTATATCATAATAATGTTTACTCGTTTTTGTAAAAATCAATGTAGAAACAATAAAAAGTTCGAACGTGTCGTCGTTCTCTTCTAATATAATATATTCTATAATAATATATAATAATAATAATAATAACAATAATTATTATTATTATTATAATTATAATAAAACGTATATAGTACACGTCACGATTATATTGAAATCATTGGTAGCGCTTTGAGTCATCACACGACGACCGTCAGTCACAACGATGGCGTTTCGCGGACCTTTTATCACTGAACTCTGTGATTGTGAATCTATACGAGACGACGACGACGACGACAAAGTCGATGTTCGATCAAAAACTGGAATAAGACCAAAGAAAAAGTATTAGAAACCGATACACTTGTCAAAAAGTATTTGATATACAGGTTCCAAAAATAGTAGTCATAGTATAGGTACATAACAATATTGTCTAATATCAGTACAGGTCTATCAAAGATGATATTAATTAATAATTTTTATGATAACAAAATGGACTATCACGAACAGTTAAAACATAAATATATATACATATATACATATATATATATAAGTATCCAGTAGGTACTCAGGTGATCTGTGGAATTTGGCTTGTTAGTACCTACGTAATACTATGAAAGAGATGCAAGTTTTGATACGAATTGTTGGTTGAATGGAAGTTGCAAATCTGGTTGGCTATCCTGAAATCTTCGTTGTACCCATATAATATTATAATCGTCATTCGGCGGATAATGACATCGCCTGGTTGCTGGCAATAAATTAACAAAAGTTGTTAGTTGGACCATCTATATTTCTGGGGTTTTCAACGCTAATAAGTTTATGGGTTTGCAAACAGTCAATTGTTTCAATCAAAATGTAACGATCATTTGCCAATCATACTAACAGACTTATTGTGGGCGGTGAACTTTTGGACACATTTACCTAAAATAAAACACATTTGAGTACAAATGTAAACACTACGTTTTGTTTTAAAGTGATGTGTGTGTAAAAAATTATTGATATGGAAATTTAAAGTGTGTGTTGATTATGGTGCACTTAACAGCAGTTGTTATAAATAAATTAAAAAGTTTGAAAATATTATAATATTGTGTTTTTATAGGTTGTTTTGCGGGATTTTTTTAAAAATTGTGTTTAAAAATGTAGTTGGATGAACTATTTGTTTTTAAACCAAACATAAAAAACGAAGTATGATAACATATTGCTTGTATAACTATATTATATTATTATAATACCTATTAAATGCATAATAATTAATAATAATGCTTATCGACAGTGATGTAGTGAAATTGCATATCTAAGACGCCGTATCGGAAGCTATTTGAGTTGAATTAAATTTGACACCGGTCACAAAGTTGTACGGGCATGTACGTTTGCCACTGTGATGCTACCTAGTGACGTTGACGTACTAGATTTACTACATATTTTCGTACCTATTTAACTTTTATGAACGTAAATACGTAATATTTATATTAAAATATAGACTTAGAAATATGTAAAAAAATAAAAACAAATCGATTAACTTAATGAATATTATTTCAATTTTGTTTCTATATATTTCTATAATGAGTCTGTTGTATCTTATTTATACTTCACATTATTTAATATGGGTCGCTTTTGTTCAGTATTAATTATATGCGACAGTAGATTAAATAAAAGTAATAACGAAAATACTACTTTATTTTCATTGCCAAAGGAAGAATCTATCCGTAAATCGCTGAAAAATTTGTTAACAATTGTTGTGGTAATAACCGAAATGTTTCGTACAATCGTACTTATGCCATGAACATTTTAGTGGTGAGAATTTTTCTTTGAAAACACCCAATATTTACTTGCATTTCCATATTATGCTAATCACAAAAATTATTTTTTTTTTGTTTAAAATTACCTACTTATTATATTACTATGAGAATGACACAACATTCAGGTATATCCAACCAAAATCAAGTCAAAAATCACTAAAAAAAAAAACTTTCTAAATTGGTTGCAACGTAGTAATGCGCATTTATTTTTTTGTAGATATTGCATAATAGTGGATATAACATATAAAAAGTTTGACATTGATTTTAATTTTTGATTCTTATTCAGTTATTACTATGTAGTGACTATAAGTCACTACGACTGTACGAATTATCACATAAAAGAATTTACAACAGTACAGTATAAAATAATGTCACTAGAGAGCAATTACGTAGCGAACGTACGACCACCGTACAACTTTGTAGCCACCTTATTTTATACAGTGTCCAGTCCTATGTAGTAGTTCGTGGTGAAAAGTGCGATTTTTGTATCTAAATCCACCACTGAATTTTAAATATATCTATATATATTATTATTATCATTATTAATAAAATTATAAGCTTATAGGTATACGAAAGGGTACTGCTGTTATGTACCGACGGTACGATATTATTACTAATAGCCAATAGGTAACATTATTATTCACGTTCTAAAAAACACGTGGAGGACGACGACGACGACGACGCCGACGCCCGAGAAAATATAACGACCATGCGGAAATCCAGAAATTTATTCATACAGGGCGGGACAAAGGTTTTCGTATCTAAATCCGTTTCAGTCATCTGATTTTCACCGCACCGTTCTGTACATACGATATCATAAATATACAACGAGACGCACCGTACGATTTATTTCGATTTGGAATATATTTTTTTTTCTTTCTTTTCCTTTATTGTTATTATTATTATTTTTCTTATTCACGTTATAAAACACGTGGCGGACGACGACTACGACGACCGAGAAAATCACACGGTACGGGCCGTGCGATTTATTTTCACCGACGTCGCTCACGTGTTTTATAATATAAATAATAATAATATTAATAATGACGACGACCATACGAACGAAATACAGAAATACAGAAACACGAAATACGTACTACAGAAATACAGAATACGGAATTAAGAAATACAAAAATTCGTTTATACAGGCTGGGGCAGTGATTTTCGTATCTAAATCCTCTCGCCGTCATCGACGCGCACCGTGCGATTTATTTCAACCGACATGTGTCTTACAACGTGAATAATAATAATAATATATTTTATTTTAACAGGCCGTTCTGGTAGAAGCGAAAAATATCCAACGCTCAAGAGACGTATGCCGCCGTCGCGGTAGGCCGTAACCACGCCCATCTTCTACGCGACAAAGTTCGCGCGGGAGTAATCGCGGGAGCGGTACATCATTATTTCACGGATGGTCAATTAGAATGTTTCGCGTCAATGCAGTTGCGTAAATGATCGCCCATGTATGTCTTATGTAGGTACTAGCACGCGGTACACAAGTCGCGACTTATTTATTAGTTAGGTTAACCTAACCTAACCTAACCAATAAATAAAGCATACAAATTATTATACACCATAACTCGATTTATATTTCTAACCCAATTACTTTTTTAAAACCGTTCTTTAATAGTAGTTGTGGAGATTAACACAAAAGCGCTAGTAGACGGTTCTTAATTTTTATAATATTATTATATATTTATTATATTATAATTTTTATTATAGTGTCATAATTTCATAAATCCATATAGCGGCATGGCGTTATTTCGTTAAAATTGTATTTAATAATATCGATGGCGAACTGAAGGTTTTCATTTTCATTTCTGACAATAGTTCGGGAGATAGCCACCATAGCGCTATAATCGCAGAACCAATAAACCGGGCGAGTTGCTTATCTATTATTTTCTTTGTCTATGGATCGCCCATGTATGTCTTATGTAGGTACTAGCATGCGGTACACAAGTCGCGACCTATTTATTAGTTAAAGTTCCTGTTTGCTTAAAAATAGGTATCAACCAATAAATAAAGCAAATTATTATTCACCATAACTCGATTTATATTTCAAACCAAATTACTTTTTTAAATACATAAAAAATAATAGTTTCATTACGATAGGGATGCCATACGTCCCGTATTATACAAGAACGTCCCGTAATTCATGACAGTGTCCCGGTGTCCTCGTAACAGATCCAATATCGTAAAAATGTCCCGTATTATGAAATTCTCGTCCCGTATGTCCCGTAAAACTAGAATACTCAATCGTTTAATATTTTTATATATAATGTTCAAAATGTGTTTTCAAATGTCAAGACAAAAATATTTTAAACCACTGATTGACTGATAACATAATTATTAAAGGGCCTGCAGGCTGCAAGTGACCTGTTATTTTGCTCAAAAACATGCCTTACAGGAAAAACTCTCATGCCTCGTAGAGTGATCTGATTTCGATTTTTTTTTTTTTTTTTTGAAAAAGAAACGCTTCTTACAGGGCTCACTGAACCTGGATTTTCAAGATTCTATTTCTAAACCATATAATACGACTTTGAATATGACCAATTTTCACATGATTTTATTATGTTTATTTAAGTAACGAAATTAAAAATCGAAGTTCAATGAGCCCTGTAGAAAATTCTCCTCTTTCTAACGAAAAAAAAATTAATCAAATCAGACCAATCTACCATGCGTGAGAGTTTTTTCTGTAAAGCGTGTTTTGATGCACTTTATTTTTGGTCGGCGATGCCGTTGAAATTTGTGCTCACGCGCAGTGCGTGCGTAGATAGCACGGTACTCGCATACAATCCAACTCACATTAATCATCATTGACGACTAACGACTAACACAAATGGAATGGGCGGTGGCAACGAAACTGCATGTTTCCCAAATATTGCCCCTTATTAAAGACACACGAGAAGGCCCCTTAAAGCATTTTTTAACAAAATAAACTTTATAAAAATTATCAGGCTATAACATACTGGGATGGTAGGTACCCAATGGCCAACGTTTCAATCCCCCCCCAACCATAATTTAATTGTTTATAGTTTTGTCCCGTATTTTTTACTTTGAAATCTGGCATCCCTACATTACGATTAAATAGATTTTGTAGTAAATATGTCGCGTATTTTACGTTGTAACTTATTGGTGAACTGGAGTAC